TTTTTGAAACCATTCAATTTTTATTCCAAGTATTTTTTAATATTATTGATAATAAACGAAATATTTAAGAAAAAAGATTAAGATCGAAATTTCCTGAGCGATAGTAAAATTATTGTCCAAAAGTCGATTTTGTATTAGGAGAACATGATACGATAGGAGATCGATCGAGAAATTTTTCCAGGAATTTCGATAGTTCTTGGAACTGATCAAATTCTTGGAATTTTCGAAATTCTTGGAAATGACATCAAATTCCTGGAATTATCGAAATTCTTGAACGAAAAAAATTTTTGGCCAATTTGTTGTAATGTTTTGTATTTTTTTTTATACTTATTTTTGCACATTTTTATTTTTTTGAAATGTCATATTTTCAAAAATTGAAGAAAAAAGAAAAGATATAAAATTATATCTTCTTACAATAAAAAAATATAATAGATGTATATATAAAATATATATAAGAATATAAATATATTATACATATATGTATACATAAAATATATGTATATAAGGACAGATATATATATTTTTGATATCTTATATATAAAAATTAATAAAATAGATATATATAAAGAATAGATTGAATGGACTTTGATAAACTTTTAAATCGATATGATAAAAAAAATAATAAAAAAATAATTAGCTTCAGCACATTTTTATTAGACTAGAAATATAAAGAAAGGAAGAAAATAATAAAAAGACAAAAATAAAATAAAAATTAATACCATCTCTAGTATCTTAGATGAAATAAATGCAGACAAAGAAAGAAAATAATAGAAAAAAAAGAATAAAAATAGGATAAGAATTAATTATTATCGCCATCTTATGAGTGCCGGTGATATCAAAGATAAAGTAATATAAAAAACTATCAATCAGCGCCATCTCTTGAATATTAAAAATATTTCTTTAAAAGTAAATTAAGAATCAAAGATTAGTATCAAGAGATGGCATTAATGGTTAATTCTTATTCTATCTATTCTTTTTCTATTATTTGTTTTCTTTGTATTTGTTTTATATCTAAAATACTCTAGAGATGGCACTAATTGCACAATTTTTATTTTATTTTTGTTTTTCTTTCGTTATTTGTTTTTTTTGTTTATATTTATTTTTGATATGAACATAGATGAGATACAAAATGTTAATTGAACACATTTTATCATTTTTTTAAGAAGTGTAATATATTTTAATCTTTAATTTTAAAAAAAATATAAATATTACATTCTTATAACTTTATAATTTTTAAGAAGATGCAAAATACATATATGATATACAATTTAAAACATTGTTCATAATACCGAATATTAATAGTTTAAATAAATAAATTTAAAGCAATATAGTTTATAAATAAAAAGAAAACATATTAGGAATTTTTATTCATTATATGAAATATAATAAAAATACATAAGATGAGATATTTAATATTTTCCATGATGTCAATATATATATATTGTATATAGTATTGATTCATTTGATAAAATAAATACAAAGAAATAAAAAAGATATCTTTAAAATATATTTTCACTTATTTATTTTGTTAATGGCACTTGAAATATTTAAAGCAAAAAATTTAATCATACACATATGATTATTATTTACAATTCTGACTAACATCAGATGGCAGCACCTTGTTAAAAACAGTAATTGTTTTTACGATAGTAGTTAAATTCACGATTAAAAATCTTTTTAAGATAATCCCAATATTAGTGACGAATATAATATAGTGATTCTTGAACAGAATTTCATTGCTTTATGTGCAAATTGTGTTAAAAACTTAAAAAATTCAATGACAATATAATATATTGAAAAGTTTCAAAATAAGTTTTTTAAAAATTTATACAATTTAAAAGATTTTCGTCCCAAAAACGCCCATTTTAAAAATACATTTCCATTAGACGATTTATTATAACAGTGATAAATTGTTTTAACGGAAATTGGGATTAAAAATGTTGATAAGAATTTGTGAGGTTATGTTTTTGTTGAATCGTAAATTCATCAATTTCTCGTAAAAAACACATGGAAAAATAGTACGATTTTCGCGCATGTCATTTAAATAACGCGGGATTAATATCTGAAAACAATTTTTGATATTTGTTCTTTTTATCCCGTTTAATCGGCGGAAAATTGTAAGTATATTGATTAATTATTTTATGCTTTAATTAATATATTGGAAAGATTCGTTACATAACAATTGAAATTTTTAATCAAATGATGATAAAGAATGGAACATTCAAGAAACATTAATTTTATATTATCTTTATTATTAGATATAACAAATATACGAAGTATATTTAAAAATTCGAATAAGAACTTCAATTATGAAATATATTGATCAAAATGTCAATATACATTTTATCAAATCTTTTACGCATTACGTAACGTATTAGCGTTAATTGCACGTTTTTTCTTTCCTGTTATGGCAGTCGATTTTATTTTTTTTGATTGTTTCTTTTTTTTACATTTTTTCTTTAAAATTTCTTGTGTATGAGAATTAGCAGAATCATCTGATGAAAAACTGTCGCATAAAGGGACAATTAAAGGTTGTAACTGTATGTGGGATCGTGAATGTGTCTGCAAATGCATTTCGGATTTTGTAATGCTCGATATTTTTCCCTCATTAGAAATAGAGCTATTTTTGTGATGTTTTCTTTTGTATTCGTTTTTAAGTTGTCGCGTTTGTACTTTAGAAGGCATTTCGAGCGTAACTAGTTTTAAAGAATCTGCTTTAATAGTTAAAAAAGATGTTTTACCACGACGCATTTCTTCCATTCTAGAATTGGTCATTTTTTGCCATTTAAGAGGAACTTTCTTTTTCTTCGGTTTCTGTTCAATATTCTCGAGTTGATTTTCTAATCGCAAATTAGTATCATTTGAATATATCGATTTTTTATGTTTATATTTATTTTGTATTTCTTTTGTATTACTTTTCATAGTAAAATATTCAAAAAATTGCAATTTTTTCATATCTCTTCTAAAATAAAAATAAAACAGAATATTTAAATTTAGTATTTAAATATTTATCAATAATATTTAAGAAAATTTAGCATACTTTAACAATGCTTCATTATCTGTTTTATCTTGCCTTAACGCCATATTGGATATTCCCCAACTTAATGGTTCCCGTACAAAAGGATGCGCGATATTCTTCTCGATATTTTCCGTAACTCCCATCCATATTTGTTGTCGCAATGAGCTAAGTTTAATTTGTATATCCTGACTTCTTAACGCAACAGGGGAATGGTGTCTCAATGTTCTATATAAATTTAAACATATAATTATTATATTAAACATATAATTACTATTATTTATAAATTTTAATTTTTTTTTTTCTCAAAACATTTTTCTCTAATATTTCACCTGACCAAGCGAAGACAATGCGATTCTCTGTTCGCTTTTGCTTTCTCCTTAATAACACTGAAATTTTCGTCCAATGATATGCTACGAGATCTCGCTATTTCCGGCAATACTAAATTATCATTGGTGACATCATTTGTTTCTTTCTGCGTAAATTGAATAGCATCTTCTTTAGAATATCCGAGAATTTTTGCTGAAGAATCTGATAAAGATAAATTTTATTCTTATATTTTTTACTTTACTTTATCTTACATCTAATTATAATAATATGACTTTACGTTCTTGTTTCGTTGTTTCTTCATCCGCTGAATCATTATACTCGCAAAAATCGCTACCAGGATCTGTAGTTGGCAAATCCATTACTGTCCTTCTGGTCTAAATATCAATCCACAATGTATAATAAATACATATTAATATGTAACATAATATATGAGACATAATACATGACTCATATATTAAATTACATTTTGTACATGAAGAAATAGAAAGTAATTAAAAATATTTATAATATGTAATATTTATTATATGAAATTATAATATGTATAATAAATACATATTAATATGTAACATAATACATGACCCATATATTAAATTACATTTTGTACATGAAGAAATAGAAAGAAATTAAAAATATTTATAATATGTAATATTTATTATATGAAATTATAATATGTATAGTAAATAC